TCCAGGTTGTGGTTTCTCACTTGTGCCTCTGAGGAAATTCTCTACTGCTGTTTGAATTTTCTGCCTTCTAAACATGGATTCTGTATTTTGAGGATGCAGCTGTGCCCATTGACACTAGCAGGCAGCCCTACTCTCTCTTCTGGCTGGTACGTACAGCTGTGGCTACTGATTTCTTCTTGTGTGTCAAAACCGCCAACGATCCTGTTTTCCTTCATTCTGGCTTTGGTTTGTGGCTATTTGGACCCCAGACAACAGGAAATTGGAGGAAGGATGTAACTTTCCCGGGTGCTCCATAGATCCCAGAACCATGGTGACACAACAGACAGTTCCCTGGGAATTTTGTGGAACAAGAGAGCAGGAATCTGGGAGTGGGGCCACATACAGTTGTCCTGTAGGGCAACCTTATGTGAGGTGAAGGTCCTTACTGCATTGTGGAACCACACTGAACTGAGAACTGAGAGCTCTTGCCCTTACTATTTTGCTGTCCTTAGCTCTTGAGTTCTTGCTGATAAACAAGGAACAGGGAAAATTCTTCCATAAGAACTTAGATCAGACATCTAGGCTTGCTTTTGGGAGCCTCTTCTTGCATTTTTACTGTTTCTCGCATTTTTCCAGACACCATGACTCAGAAAAAGGGCCTTCATGGTGTGACAGAGTCACCTTCCAGACCACTCACACCTATCAGAGCTCTAATATTTAAACTATGATCTGGTACCAGTAGAGGAGAGGACAGGATGTTGTCATATCAGGCAGCAGCTGGCTCCAAGGAGAGGAACCCATTCACCACATTGTTAAACACCACATGAAGTTCAGCTTCCTTTGCCACAGGATCTCAGGTGTATTATCAGCAGAGTTTTCAGAACAAATACAAAACTCAGCCCCATATCAGCCACCCTAAAGAAATTTAACTCTATCCAAGCCCAAACCAGTATATTCTCCACCCGTTATTCCATACCATCTTCATCATGCTTTGCTTTGTGGTGGAAACAGATGTGAATATACAGGGATGGTTTAGTTATTGTTGACTGATGTTTACACAGTCAAGGCTTTCTCCACTCTTCATCTCCACCTGCTGGGGGTGGACAAGGAGTTGGGAGGGGACACAGCTGGGACAACTGACCCCAACTGACCAAAGAGATATTCCAGACCATATGGTGTCATGCTTTGCATATTAATATGTGGAAAAAGAAGGATGAGGGGGATGTTTGGAGTTACGGTGTTTATCTTCTCAAGTCAGGGTTCCACATGTTGGAGCCCTTCCTTCCTGGGGTTGGCTAAACACCCACCTGCCTTGGGAAATGGTGAATGAATCCTTGGTCTGCTTTTCTTGTGTGCTAGGTTCTCTTGTACCTGTTAAACTGTTTTTATGTCAACTCATGGATTTCCTCACCTTTACTGTTCTGAATTTCTTTTCCATCCTGCTGGGGCAGTGTGAGTGATCAGCTCTGTCATGCTCAGTTGCTGGCTGAGGTTAAACCACAACACCTGTCCACTGAGTAATGACTTCATCCTCTAGCAGAAGGAAGAGGGACCGCAGACTCACCTAGTTTTTAAGGAGAAAAATGAGAGCGAAGTGGATGAGAGACCAAGGACCTGCATTGGCTTTTATACTGCCCCAGGCTCAGGAGGTTGCCCAAGCAGACAGAGATGCTCTTCTGAAATTTAAGGCATCCCAGATGATGGCTGTGTTTCAGGCTCCTGGTGCTTTTCACTTCCTTGTTTACACTATGGTATTTCCCTCATGGATGTTTGTTTTGAGGTTAAAATGAGATTTCCTAAAATTTCTGGGACAGGAGCATGTAATTGTGGGCAGAACACTCACACCAATTGCTGTAAGAGTCCTCTACAGACCAGGACTAGTGGCCTGGGGCAGTCCTGGGATACTGTTTTCAACCACACTGACAAAAGGCCAAGCTCCTCTCAGCCCTGCAATCCTTGTCTAGACAGCAAATGGATCCCATTTGTGAGGACACACCATTTCTTTCTCTTCCAGGCAGCTGAACTGCACTGCTGAGCTTCAATATTTCTCCTTTGCTCCCTAACCTTGGAAGAGATTTCCCAGGCTGCTTGGCTTCCTCCACTCTTTAGGCCATGACTGGGGATCCTCAGCCAATCCATGTTTGGGCCATGAGGTGCCTTGGCATGTTCCAGCCCAGCCAGGGTTGTGCCTGTTGAACCCACAGTGGTCACATAAGGGCATTTTTGCTTGATGGATGCACTTAGGTGGATGATAAATTCCTTTGAATGCATGGCATGGACAAATTTGCATGTAATGCTGTGCAGATGAGCTCAAATGAGTTTGTACACTTCTGGTACTCATCAACAGGATGTGATGGCCATCCTCACACCCTGGCCCTGCAGGCTGGGTTGCCTCTTGCATTCTCCAGGTTAAAAAGCTTAAAAGAGCATTAGGAGAAATGCCAAGAAATCCTGCCCAGCTTGTGCATGGAAACCCTGAGTGGATCTGCTTCCAGTACTGTGTGGTGGGTGCCTGTCTCATGGAGTCAAGAGCTTCAGCTGCACAGAGCAAGGAAGGCAGGGCAGATGGGGACCACGGCAAAGCAAATCAGGGAGAGGAAGGCTGGAAGATGGTGAGTTTTGGCAATAGAAAAAAGGTTTCTGCTCCCCTCTGGACTTTAACTTCAGAGCAGGTGCCATCACCTGCAAAGTGGTGAGGACAAAAAGACACATTTTGGAATTTTTCAGAGGGATCTGTACTCAATTGTTCCTACTTGAAGGAGAAAAGACCTGTGACATCTTCAGGAGACTCCCTCTCTTAGGAATCTTAAGCAGCAGTCTCCTAACCTGACCTGATGTCTCGAGAGGTTTCTTGTTGCAGAAGAAGGCTGCAGAGCTTGCCCTGCCTTTGGAGCAATACCATTTGCTGCTCTTTGATGTGGGCTCCAGGGATAATGTCCAAAAGTGTTTCTAGAGTGACTAAAGAGCTCTGGGATGAAGTAAGGGTGTGAGGGCCCAAGCTGGAAAAGACTGAGTAGAAAAGAACTCATTCTGTGGGTGAACAACTGATTGCAGGCCTTATGTTGCAGGTGGAGATTTGGTTTTGATTGACAGAGAAACATCTGTGATGAATGAAGGGTGCTGTGCAAGGACAGGAAATATCTGACAAAGTCATGCAAATAATCTTTAAATCTCATAAGAGATCAACAGCATTCTTTACCCAACTCTTTACTCATCTTTCACTTGGGTGTCATACTGGTATTGAATCTGTGGTGTTCACTGCACTTCTGAGGAAATATTACACAGAAATGGATCCCCTTGGCACAGATGGGTCCATCTAGAGTTCCCAGAGGAACAGTTTTTGTACAGTAGCATCAGACTCAGAGTTCTGGCTGCCTGGGTTATTTGTAATGGATTTAAAATGTGTGATCCCCCTAAAGGCATCACATGGCCCTGCCCCTAATGAAGTGTGGAATGTTTCTCACCACTCATTAAGAATTGGAAGGCAAATCCTCCCCATGTGGTTAATTAGGGAGCTTTTCTAGTTTTGTTGCTTTGTTTATTTTTACTGGCACAGGAGATGGTAAACAGGAAGTTTTAATCACTTCTCAAGACAGTGGCATTTCCTTCTGTATTCTTTTATCTGAATTTTGTCCTTTGTTCCTGGAAAACTCAAGATATTCTGGTAATGCAGATTTAGTGGATCAAAGTGCTTGTGTGGGAGATTCAGTATTTAGCTCTGGTAAGAATCCTCTGAACCAGGACATTTAGTGGAATTTTCAGCCACGTTAAACTCCACTTCTTCAGCTTGTATCTCCCCCGTTTGGCTATAAGGATTATTTGAGTGGGCAGAAGATTTTTGTAATGGAGCCATGTGAAGGGGTTGCCGGTGCGGGTCAAACACAGAGTGAAGTGGAACTGGAGATGGTGTGGTTCTGGCAACTGAGACCAGTGCTTGGGCAGCAGGTCTCATGAGGAGCAGATAAAGCCTTGGTTTTGGGAGAGAGCAAGGTGTGTCAGCATCCTGTAAGATGGACAAAGGCTCTGTCTCTACCTGTCGATCCAGGCAGGAGGAGCATGTGTGGAATGTCGCATGCATCAGAGAGACCTGTGAACCCGAGCTGGTATTTGGAGCCCAGCAATGCCTTCAGAAGTTCATTTTCTGCACCAAAGACAACATGGATAGCCAGGGAATGATAGTTGGTGCATTGACCTGTGGCTGAAGGCCAAGGATTAACCAGAAATTTTCAAGTACATCTGAAAACATTCCTGCATGTTGCCATTAGGAGTGAAACCACAAGTCATTTACACAGGGAAGATGGACACCTGGAACAAAACATTAGATCTTTTTGGAGGTGTTGGGATCACAGCGACGGAGACTCCACTGCCCAGACTGAGTGTGTTACCAATTCTTACTTGTGAATCCCCTCAGCCCTGCGGCTCTGGGCAGCAGCTGGGCCATGCCAAGTGCTGAGGGCCTGTGTGAGGTTTGGATCTCATCTCCTTGTTCCCAGGTGTGCTGGCCACAGACCCTAGGCCAGGCAATGAAGGAAGTATAGGAAGTGATGAGCTGTGGGCTGTTCACAATTGTTGTTGTTTCCCATTGCCACTCCTTTGGAGCCAAATTCTCCATGATGGCCTTTGGCTGCTGAGTAGCCGGGGATGTTCTTCATCAGCTCCAAGGGAAAAGGGCGCAAAGTAAAATCCGCTGCACTGAGCCCCACACTTTGTTGACTCCACCTTTTTCCTGAGCAGACTGGAGGAGTTGCCCCAGAACAATAGACGACTCAAATGTCAAGGCTTGAATGCAACACACTTTTAATAAGTTTAAATGAGAAAAGGAGAAGGATCACAGAGAGCACCCGGAGCAGCCAGTAAGATGGAGCTCCCATGTGCTTTTCTTTGCACTGCTCTGCAGAGGAAGGGAAGACAAGAAGTCCATATTAGCCTTGGGGAGAGAGGGACAGTAAAATAAAGGAGAGTAGAACAAGGATGCAACAGTCCAAAGCTCCAACTACAATGTCCCAAAGCTCTATCTCTGCCCAGAACAAGGTTCTGAAGTCTTGGATGCCCTTGCCTGAAGACATTGCCAGCAGATTTAGCAGGGACGGCATCTGTTGCCACCATAGCAGTTGGTGATGCAGGAGATGTCAAAGCCCCCGGAGCTGATGGGCACTCCGCCACAGCTGAGGATGTTGCCAACAGCAGCAGAGGTAGAAGATCCCACGGCGGTGTTCTGTGGGAAGGAGCTGAGGATGGGGCCGGGCAGGGTCACCAGCACAGCAGGCGGCTGAATGACAACGTGGGAGCTCTGGCACTGCCTGACACAGCACTCATTGCAGCTGTTGGCCAGCGGGCAGGGGCCACAGGGCTGGCAGCAAGGGTCGCAGGGCTTGCAGCAGGACATGGCTCGGGATCACAGGTGCACCTGGCACAGAGAGCAGGGAGAAGCACAAAGTGAGGACACATGAGAAGCAGCACTGCACCCAAACACCCTGCAGCCCAGGCACCTCCTGACCCCCACTGCACTGCCCAGGACAAGGCCCAGGAGCTCCCTCAGCCAAGTCCCAGCCTCTCTCTGTCTGCACAAGACCTTCCCTCCCCTGCCCTCTCCCAGCAGAAGCATCTCCCAGGCCTGCATTATGACAGTCCCTCTCAACTGAGACCTCCAGCCAGGCAAGAGATGCTCTTGAAGCAGCAGCAGGAGGAGGAGAAGAGGCTTCCCACTCACCTGGTTCCTGAGGAGGAGGAGGAGGTGAGCAAAGTGGATGAGAGAGCAGAGACTTGGGCTGCCTTTTATAGCAGTCCTGCCCTGCCTCAGGCCCAGAGACTCCTTTGTGGAAGAAATAATTTTGTGACCAGCTCAGGTAAAATATGTACCATCCCAGCTAATGGTAGGGGATGTGTCCTGGTTTCCTGCACTGTGTCCTTTTCATTTCCTAGTAATTTTGCTTTTTTTCCTATATGAAAGGCTACTTCTGTAGGTGCCGGCAGGATAAGCTCAAGGATTTCCGGGGCAGAAAGACGTCAGCACAGGCAGAAGTCTCTGATCAAGTGCCAGCAGCATCCTTTGTGGGCAGGTGATGTTCTCGTGTAATTTCTGAGTGGTTTGTTTGTGGCAAAGTTGTCAGGAAAACGACTCTGGTCCTGTTCTTCTTGGTCACACGTGCAAGAACTGCAACGTGAGGGGACATGACACAGGTTTGGCATGTTGTTTCCTTCTTCCACTCACCTCCTTCTTTCCACCTTCTCTCTGTGTCTCTCCATGCCAGTCTAGAGGGGATGTGTTGCCCTCTCTCCCTCAGCCTGAAAGGCAGATGGACACCCCTCAGGACCTCCACTGCATCTTAGTGTCTGCTCCTGGTTCCTTCTGTGAGCCACCTCCTTTTCTTCCTTAGACTCACCAAATTTTTTGCGCATCCCTGCCTGGGGTTTTTTTTAATCCTTTGTTCTGTGGCAACACTTTCATTCTGCTCAGGTAAAAAGGTAGCGAAGCTGTGACTGGGAGTCCCTGTAGCAGATCTGACTTTTTGATCCTTTGCAGCTGATGAAGACATCAGAGAAATCCTGGATGCAAAGAGTGGCAGCAGTGAATATGAGAAACAATCATTTTGGGGGTAACAGCCCACAACCTCATCCCTTCCTTCTCCTTCTCTCCATTACCTGGTCCATGAGCAGCACATGTGGTAAAAGACATGAGACACTTATGACATTTGTGTAATCCTTCAGTACTGGCAGGACTCAGCTGCTGTACAGATGTGCAGGGCTTGAGGTGATTCACAAGTTGGGATAAGTGTCTGCCACAATCAGGCTGTGCAGAGAAAAGCAATGTGTAACATTTTTTAATTGCTCCTCTAAGTGTTAACATCTAACACAGCTACAACTTCCCTTAAAATGTAATAGCACAGAACAAATTTCTTACGCCTGGGAGCACACAAAGTTACCTATAGGATGGGTTTTGCTGTGTGGCTGACTGGCCTACTCATATGTTCTGGCCAATATTTCTCGAGGACCTAGTGCCATTGGTAGATTAACTTCTCTACTATTTCACCAAGAGTATGTGAAGCACAAAAGAGAAAACTGTTCAGCTTATCAGTTGACAGAGGAGAGCTTGTGATTCCCAAGTTACCCTATACAGTGAGAGGGAACTTGTTGCTGCTGCCTTTTGAACACCTGGAGTCGGGGCAGCTGTGAACTTATCACACCATGAAGAGAACCATGTGTACTTTAGTTAAAGATATACATTACATTTCATAAGCATTAACAGCCCTAAGTACAGAAATTACACAAGTCAGAGAAACTGCCCTTGAAAATTGAGCAACAATTGACTATTTGGTGTTTAGACATAATCAGGGATGTGAAGAATTGAAAGGCATGTGTTGGTTCAACCTTTCCAATAACTCCTGACTAATAGAAAAGAAAGAAACAACTAAAGAAACCAGCCACAAGTGCTACAGAGACAGAAAAACTAGATTTCTCTTGGCTGGCTTCATGGCAACACTCCTGAAACTTAGGATGGTTAAAACAATCTCTTGTGCTTATCATGATGTGATGTGGTACTCATGACTTTAATCACTTGTGTTTTAATTCAGTGCTTACTGCTGTGCAAACTTGGTCAATAAAATAACCGCATATGACACTTTAAATAAATTATATTAAAGTCTCAAAGGGGGGATTTGTTACTGAACAAGTTCTATTTCTTCAAGTCTTCACATCTGTGGGGGAAGATGCCGGAAAATTCTTTTGACTTTAGCACATAGTGTATGATCTCTATATTCATGGTTAATGCTTTGTTTTGTAGAAGCAGGTATTTGCCTAGTATACATACCAGAGATTAATGTGACCTTCTGTTAACTCCCTACATCTGTGACTGATAAGTCTTGTGTCAGTTAATGCTTCCTTATTTACTTATATCAGTGATTAATATGTACTCACCAGTATCTTAGTTTTGTGATGTCTTAGTTTGGAAGATAGGTGTCTGCTAAGGAATATGGGAACCTCCCTTGGAAAGGAGAATATGACCCCCTTCTCTCCGAACTTTGAAATTAAGTGGCTTTCAGGCAAAGATATGGGAAAGCAATAACAGTTCTTTAGCAGTATGTGTGTGTATAACAAGGCAAACAGCAGCAGCGAACAGAAGCAAACACCCAGTCCTGGCCTCTCGTGGCCACAGGCACTTTCCCCTTGGGTGCAGTTCCGGGCACAGCCAGCAGGGGCGCTGCTGGCTCATGGCTGGTCACAGTGGGTGCGATGATTCCCCCGGGGCTGCAGGGGGCGCTGTGGCGCGGTGCGGCCGCCTGTCTGCACACGGCAATGGCGGATGGGCCCGATGGCGAAATGGGCTGCAGCAGGAACATCGGAACAGCAGCTGGGACAGCAGGGCGGGCTCACCCTGGGCAGCAAGCAAGAAGCAGCAGAAATTCAGCAGCAGCAGCCTAAACTGGGCCAGGGGAGGCTTTCCTGGAGAAGGAAAGGGCCCGGGGTCCCGAAGTTTTATCTGAGGCATGTGGGCCGATGGTGCAAAGGGTCCCACTCTAGTGAGATGGAGTGTTAATAAGGTCCCAGTGCAATGGCCACCCCCACAAGCAGAGCTTCAGTCATGGTAGGAGAAGTCAGCAGGAGATGGAGCCTCACAGTTCTGGTGAACTCCCCCCACAGTGACCGCAGCCTGCTTTCCTCCAAATGCTGAGAGAGCAAGAGAGCTAGGAGCTGCACCCAGCTCCCTTTAACCCAGCCAAAATCTGGCAGTATCTCTGCCCCTCCAAGAAAAACGCCCCAGTTTAGAGAGTAGCTGACCACACCCTTCCTATGGCATTTCTTTTCTCTATCATAAGTATCTGTTGTTATAGTTTCTTGGCAGCGGATGTGAGAAAATCCCATGAGAGATAGAAACAAAAGGAAAAATCCTAAACCCCAACATAAGAACAAGGATTGTTTGTCAGAGTGAAGAATGATGAGAGAAGTACATTATGACCTTACCACATATTTGGGATACTCTCAAAAAGAAAAGATTCCTCAGAAGATCTGTAACCATATCCAGACAAGTCCATGGACATAATTACCATATGCACATGTATTCAAAAAAGTTATGAATATGTATTAGCTTTTGGACTATAACCTGGTTTGCTAGGTTAGTGGGCATGCTTAGAGGAAACATCCCCGTGCATCCAGCTCTGCTAATAAAGTAATATCAGCTTTCTGACACAGGAAATTGGTTGGAGAGTTTATTTCCTGGTATTTGGTGACAGCGGGGCTTTGAGCAGCGTGGTCTGGCGGAAGGTGTCCCTGCCCATGGCAGCAGGGTGGGACAAGATTGTCTAACCTAAACCCTTCTATGACTCTGTGATCTGTGGTTGGTCCATGGCAGACCCTGTCTTCACCAGGGTTCATCTTCCTTTGTCTTGCAGTGCCCCTTGGGTACAGGTTTGGTCAAAGGCTTCAGTTGGGAAGGCACTGATGGACAGATTACATCTATCCATACATGGCAGAAATGTGATTAATAGTGAAGCCTTAAGTCTTCTGCACAAACTCACCTAAAATAATTTACCACTGCATATCCTGAGTATGGCTGATACCAATTCTAACTTCTGAAATATCTCAGCATTTCATCTTAGGACAGAGATGGGCACTGCATGAGCTGAGGGCCCCCATGAGATGTGTGTCTCATCTGCCTGTGCTGCTGTCTGCAGGCTGTGGACCCTAGACTGGGTAATGGAGGGGAGGAGAAGGTAGGGATGAGGCTGTGGGCTGTTTCCATACATCCCTGTTTCCCAGCTGTTGGGAGGAAAAGGTTGAAACTGAAAGACTTGGAGAGGAGGATGATAGATTTGCATAAAGTGACCTTGTAGGTGGGAAGGCTGAGAACATCCACATAGGAAACTTGACATATTTACTGCTGATTATCCTGTCTCTCTTCTGAGAGATAATATAAAAGCTATCAGAACTTTAAGAGGTGTGAAAAGCGCCAATCACTTGTTTTAAAATTTTAAAAGTTTAATAGTAATAAAATGGTTATAAAAATAGAGTAATAAGAATTTGGACAATCAGAGTTTGGACAATAAAGGACAATAAAAAACAAATAAATACGGACTGTCTGGGTGCCTTCCTAGGGCAATGTAGCCCTGAAACCACCCACACTAACAAAGGATTAACCCTTAAAAGCAGTAGCCTGTTGCATATTCATATATCTCATACATGATGCCAAAATTCTTTTCAAACAAAGGGTGTTCTCTAGTTATTGTCAACTTCTTCCCCTTAATCCTGGTGGCTCCTTAAAGATGGAGAGGAAGTGGAAGGATGTTTGTCTTTTCTGATAAGGAGGCAGTAACTCTTTTCTTGGGGATTTAGATGTCTTGCTGCTGTTATCTCTGTGAGAACAATTTCTTGATTATCTCATCTGTTTCTTGAGCTAGTTAAAAAATATCTTACATTGTATAGTTTCTATTCTAACATTATATTATAACCTAAAACTATATCTACCACGCTACTTAAAAAAGGTTAGTACAGTAATATTACAAAGAAAGCAATACAATGTAACTTTCCAACAGAACACATACAGTATTCAATTTAATATTTGTGAAGAGCAAATATGCATTTTTCACAGGAGGCATCTCTCACAGACAATCTTGAGCCCCCTGGTGAGAGAGTAAGAGATCAAAAAAACCTCAAAGGTCATAAAAGCACAGCATTGTGATAAACTGCATGTGCATGAGGCCCCTTGAGCTATTGGGACAGTCAGTGATCCACCAGGATTGGACTGACCTTAATGGTGTCACTGTTCCTCTCTTATGTGTCTCTGCAGCCTGGCAATGCCTTGGGACTCTTGAGTTAATGAGGTAATGAAATAAATCTCCTCCTTGCATTTCAGCTGTGGTTTGGTGACTTGGACTTATCAATTCACGCACCAACCCACTGCTGCTACCCTTTGGAGCCTTGCTGTTCCTGATGGACATTGACTGTGCAGTACCCAGGTACGTTTTCCTCAGGTCCAAGGCAAAAGAGCACAAAGTAAAATTCTCTGCAGGGACTCCCACCCTCTGCTTCTCCACCTTGTATCCTGAGCAGTCTGGAAGAGTTGCCATGGAAAGAATGAGAACTAGGAGGACAAGGTTTGGATGCAAAACAATTTTATTGACTTGAAAGAAGAAAAGGGGGTTCACAAAGAGCACCACCAGCAGCCACTAAGATGCAGTGGAGCTTGTGCAGAGTGAGCATCTGCCCACCTGGCAGAGGACAGCGGGGCAACATGTCCCCACTAGATTGGTCTGGGGAGACACGAACAGAAAACAGAGAAGAAAGAAATGTAGAAGGGAATAATGGCTTGAAGATGTAAATACAATGTCCCAAGGCTGTATCTTCTGCCCAGAACTAGGTTCTGAGGTCTTGGAGGTTCATGCCCAAGGACATTGCCAGGAGATTTAGCAGGGACGGCATCTGCTGCCACCATAGCAGTTGGTGATGCAGGAGATGTCAAAGCCCCCAGAGCTGATGGGCACTCCGCCACAGCTGAGGATGTTGCCAACAGCAGCAGAGGTGGAGGATCCCACGGCGGTGTTCTGTGGGAAGGAGCTGAGGATGGGGCCGGGCAGGGTCACCAGCACAGCAGGCGGCTCAATGACAACGTGGGAGCTCTGGCACTGCCTGACACAGCACTCATTGCAGCTGTTGGCCAGCGGGCAGGGGCCGCAGGGCTGGCAGCAAGGGTCACAGGGCTGGCAGCAGGACATGGCTCGGGATCACAGGTACACCTGGCACAGAGAGCAGGGAGAAGCACAAAGTGAGGACACATGAGAAGCAGCACTGCACCCAAACCCCCTGCAGCCCAGGCACCTCCTGGCCCACACTGCACTGCCCAGCTCAAAGGCCAGGAGCCACCTCAGTGAAGTCCCAGCATCTCTCTGCCTTCTCTCCCCTGCCCTCTCCCAGCAGAAGCAGCTCCCAGTCCTGGGCTACAACAGCTCCTCTCAGATGTGACCTCCAGCCCTGCAAAGGCTGCTCGTGAAGTAGCAGCAGGAGGAGGAGAAGAGGGCTCCTACTCACCTGGTTCCTGAGGAAGAGGAGAAGGTGAGAGAAGTGGATGAGAGAGCAGAGACTTGGGCTGCCTTTTATAGCAGTCCTGAACTGCCTCAGGCCCAGAGGCACCTTCGTGGAAGTCATAATTTTCTGACCAGCTCATGTCAAATATGAACCATCCCATCTAATGGTGGCGGATGTGTCCTAGTTTCCTACAATGCCTCCTTTCATTTCCTGGCACATACCACTTGCTTTCCTATATGAATTCTTCCGTAAGTGCTGAGATGACAGGCCCAAGAATTTCTGGGATCATAAAAACAGGCAGAATGCTCATGTCCAGGGCTAGTATCATCCCATGCAGGCACGTAATGTAAAGCTGTGTAATTTCTATGGTTTTGTTCATACAAAAATACAGCATAGCCGTAGTGGCAAAGTAGAGTTCTCCTGTATTGGTATCCATGCCAACCTTGAAGGACTGCAGCCTATTGGAAGGGCTCATCCTGGAACAGAGAAAAATGTAAGGAGGCAGAAAAGAACAGTTGTGCACTGACCAAAACTCCCCCATTCTACAGCCCACAGTGCCATGGAGGACTGGAGGAAATAGAAGATTCATTAATGAAGGATGAAAGTTGAATCTTTAAGAAAGCAGTGTGGATGAACTGAATCAGAGAATCATAGAATGTTAAGGGTGGGAAGGGACCTTAATGATCTTCTAGTCCAAACCCTCCCTGCCATGGGCAAGGACAATGAAGTTAATTTAAGATTAGTTTTGTGGGGAGAGGGGGGTGGCATTTTTTTTCTTTTCTGCTGTTTCTAAATATCCTGTTTTATTTTTTCATTGCCAGTGTCTTAAACAAGTGTTCCCCAACTTAACTCAATTTTTTTTTCTTCTCCCAACCATCTATCCCTCACTGAGCCTCTCTTCTGTCCAGTCCACTCTGTATGTTTCCCAGACAGGCCTCTGCAGGAAGGGGCCTCAGTTCTCCTCTGGCATCCCAATTTTCCCCATGCACCCAGAGATGGGCAAAAGATCCTCTTGCTATGAGGGGCAGAGATTATTGCCTCAGGGAAGAGGAAATGGTGCAGGAAAGAGCTTCTGCCATGGAGCTGTCCCTGGGTGGGATTGCAATTGCAGTGAGAGAGCAAGGGTTGTTCCGATTGCTGCTCTCTTTCCAGGACCATGGTAGGTGCAGGTGGTGGCTTGTCCATGTCATCTTGCCAACCCATGTGAATAACCATTCCTCTCCCAGAGGTGCTCTGTGTGATGAAAGTTGGGAATGTGCTGTCTGCAAGATGTCTTCATCCTGAAAATATGTGCAATGAACATCCGGGGCTCCACGGGGCACTGCAAGGCCATGCTGGAAGAGCAATATCTGTCTTCTCTGAGAGAAAGAGGTATTTACCTCTCAGAAAAAAAGTAAGGAGAAAATGTTGTGGGTTGAGATAAAGACAGAGGGATTTCTTACCAACTACCAACAGAAAAAACAAGGCTTGATTTGGGGAACATTGACTGTACACTTTACAAACAAAACAAAGCAAAACTGTGCAAAAAACACACTAAAATAACTTCACTCCAACTCTTTTTCAGTGATGCAATTGCTCTTCCTCATCCCTGGTTCTCTTCTATTTCCTCCATGTTTAAGCAGCACAGCAGGATAGAGAATAAGGGGTTGCAGTCAGAACACAACAGTTATTTCTTGGGGAAAGATCAACTTCAACAGAACCGATCATGAAAAAGCAGCAGGATTTCGGCAGTTAGCCTAAAAAAATATCACACTTTCCTACTTTTCCAGGCACAGTTGCTAGACATGCAATTTTTTGGGGATATGGAGGTCCAGGTCCTTGAACCTGAAAGGAGTTTGACTGAAAGATGTTTGACTTCCCCTGTACCACACAAGACAGTCTGTTCTACATCTCACAACAGTGTACAACACAGGTCCCAGTCCATTCAGTTCAACACCCATTTCTGTGAGATGCAACCACTTCCTCACTCAGCACCAGGGAGATGTGCTGTACAAGTACATGTAGCATTGGTCTGGAGAGGAGGAACCTGTGTGGCATCCCACTCACCAGCAACACTCCAGCATAAGAGGATCCATTCAGGGACTTCAATTCAGTGGTCTGCCTGGAAAAGCTCAAAAATATGCGCGCTCATAGGAGAATAGGAAGAAGTCAGCACCTGGAGTCTCTGCTGACACAGCATGTCCCCTCGCATGGCATTCCTTGGGCAAAAAGCACAAAAGCGGTGCCCATTTCCTAGCAACTTTGACACAAACAAACCCACAAGAATGACACAGGTTCACATCAGCTGACCGCATGGAATGCCAACAGCCCTTGATCTGAGCATTCTGCAGGTACTGATATATTTATGTCCCGGAAGTATGGGCTTGTCCTCCCAGCTATTACAAAAGCCCTCAAGGGATAAAGAACATGGCGTGTGTCGGGAAGTGAAAAGGCAGAAAGGCAGGAAACCAGGACATGGCCCCTACCATTAACTGGGATGGTGCACATTTGACAGGAACTGGTTAGAAAATTATGACTTCCATAAGGTGCCTCTGGGCCTGAGGCAGTTCAGGACTGCTATAAAAGGCAGCCCAAGTCTCTGCTCTCTCATCCACTTCTCTCACATCCTCCTCCTCCGCAACAAGGTGAGTGGGAAGCCTCTTCTCCTCCTCCTGCTGCTGCTTCAAGGGCATCTCTTGCCTGGCTGGAGGTCTCAGCTGAGAGGGGCTGTCGTAGCCCAGGACTGGGAGCTGCTTCTGCTGGGAGAGGGCAGGGGAGAGAATGTCTTGTGCAGACAGAGAGAGGCTGGACCTTGGCTAAGGTGGCTCCTGGGCTTTGAGCAGGGCAGGTTGATGTGGGCCAAGAGGTGCCTGGGCTGCAGGGTGTTTGGGTGCAGTGCTGCTTCTCATGTGTCCTCACTCTGTGCTTCTCCCTGCCCTCTCTTCGCCAGGTGCACCTGTGACCCCGAGCCATGTCCTGCTGCCAGCCCTGCGACCCTTGCTGCCAGCCCTGCGGCCCCTGCCCGCTGGCCAACAGCTGCAATGAGTGCTGTGTCAGGCAGTGCCAGAGCTCCCACGTTGTCATTGAGCCGCCTGCTGTGCTGGTGACCCTGCCCGGGCCCATCCTCAGCTCCTTCCCACAGAACACCGCCGTGGGATCCTCCACTTCTGCTGCTGTTGGCAACATCCTCAGCTGTGGCGGAGTGCCCATCAGCTCTGGGGGCTTTGACATCTCCTGCATCACCAACTGCTATGGTGGCAGCAGATGCCGTCCCTGCTAAATATCCTGGTGGCATCCTTGGGCACTTCTCCTGACCTCTGAACCTGATTCTGGGCACAGATAGAGCCTTGGGACATTGTATTTAGAGCTGCGGGCTTCTCTTTCCTTCTTCTACTCTCCCCTCTCTTTTATTCACTGTCTGTGTCTTCCCAGGCCAGTCTAGTGTGGACATGTTGTCCTCCCTCCCTCTGCAGGGCAGGCATGTGCACACCCTGCCCGAGGTGTGCTGCATCTTAGTGGCTGCTCCTCTTGGCCTCTATGAGCTACCTCCTTTTCCACTTTACACTCAATAAAGTTGTTTTGCATCCAAGCCTTGCCTCCATATCTTCCTTTTTTCCCATGGAAACTCTTCCACTCTGCTCAGAGTAAGAGGTGGATGGCAGAGTGTGGGAGTCCCTATAGTGGATTTTCCTTTCTGCCTTTTCCTTTGGAGTTGATGACACACATCCCTGGCTACTCCACAGCCAATGGCAAACAGGGAAAAGATGGCTCCAAAGGGTGGCATGAAATGGGAAGGAAAACAGCAATGTCTGGGACCAGCCCACAGCCTCATCTCTTCCTTCTCATCCCCTGAATTACCCAGTCTAATGTCCATGAGCAGCGCATGTGGTCAAAGGCAGATGAGACAGTTACATCACAGAGTCCTTCAGCACCTGGCAGGACCCAGCTGCTGTCCAGACATGCAGGGCTGAGGTGATGCAGAAGATGGCATCAGCATCTGCCAGTCAAGTTGAGCAGACTGTGGAGTAGCACCTTAACTTATTGTTAACTTAACTTAAGGAGAGGGAAAGACTTAGGATTCTTAAATGCTCAAGGTCAAAAGGAGTGAAGGAACTGGCTTACTGACTGGGTTCAGATGCAGATAGTGGCCTTTCCAGGAATGTAAGCCTCTGGGAAGGCTGCAGGTTGCCTGGAAACACTGATAGCAAGAAGCTGAACTTGGCAGTAGTCAGAGCAGGCAGCTGCAGCTTCTGCAGAGGAAAGGCTGCACCTGCCAAAGGCCAAATCACTTGGCCAGGAAGCTTGTTTTTAATGCAAATGCTTCAAGAGGAGAGACAGTGGGTGGTTTCCCTGTGTGGTGATGCCAGCTGATGCTGGAGTTCCACTCTACTCCCTGAGGCCATGAGGCCCTGAAATCAAGGCCAAATGTTTGAATGCCTGGTGAGAACAGTAGAACAGAACAGCATATTACTATTACCAAATTAATGGAACAATGTAGTCTTGGAGAATTAGGTGTATTATAAATAACTGGATAGTTGTTGGCTTTTGCTGTTATGTATTAGCTTTTGCAGATTATTATTAATCGCAACATTTTTGATGTAGTACAATTTGTTATCATTTTAAACTGGTTTTGGACATAGTATAATTTTGCAGGTTTTGTGGCCAATGCTCTGGCCATATATAGTTTCTATATATTAGTGTGATAAATATATTATAGTTTTGGCTTTCGCAAAATATAAAATAGAGACTATGTAATATTAACTTCTGCAGAAGGTTTTTATCTTTGTAGCTAGCTGACAATTGTGAGAAAACTCAGATAAGTTTGATGAAATAGCTAAAACTGTCTATGATTAGATAACATTGAAGGAACCACATAAATAACATTGAAAGAAAGGATGTGAAAAAGACTCCTGCCACTGACCCTGCAGCGATCAATAGTTCCCCGGTTGTCGTTGTGAGGAAATGGCATATACATTGTGAGGAAATCACACCCACGACTCTCAAAAATCAAATCCACACTATTGCATCATGGGTCGAGGGTCGAAAAAAGCTAAAGAATTTCCAGGATATTTAAAAGAACTCACACAAATGTTTGAACATGTATAATCCCATGATCATGCATCTAACTAATGTAAATAAAAAGTATATAAGAAAATTGTCAGTGCAGCAATGACTGACTGTCAGAGAGAGTCAGGGAGAAAAGAAGAAAAGAATGCTTAATGTCCCCTCACATGGCAGTCCTGTGCATGCAGGAATGAGAGCAGTGTACATTCCTGGCAATTCTAGTACAAAAACACATACAGGGCTTCTGACACAGGTTCACATCAAATCACCGCATGGAATGCCACCATCTGAGCCTTCTGCCTGAGCTGACACATCTATATCCTGGAAATATTTGGGCTTCTCATGCCAGCACTTACAGAAGTCTTCAAATAGGAATTCAGATGGAATTAGACAGGAAATGAAAAGGCAGCAATGCAGGAAACAAAGACACAGCCCCTACCATTAGCTGCAATGGTGTATGTTTGACATGAGCTGGTCAGAAAATTATGACTTCCACGAAGGTGCCTCTGGGCCTGAGGCAGAGCAGGACTGCTATAAAAGGCAGCCCAAGTCTCTGCTCTCGCATCCACTTCTCTCACATCCTCCTCCTCCGCAACAAGGTGAGTGGGAAGCCCCTTCTCCTCTTCTCCTCCTCCTCCTGCTGCTGCTTCAAGAGCATCTCTTGCCTGGCTGGAGGTCTCAGCTGAGAGGAGCTATAAGAGCCCAAGGCTGGGACCTGCTTCTGCTGGGAGAGGGCAGGGGAGAGGAGGTCTGGTGCAGACAGAGAGAGGCTGGGACTTGGCTGAGGAAGCTCCTGGGCTGTGAGCTGGGCAGTGCAGTGGGGGCCAGGAGGTGCCTGGGCTGCAGGGGGTTTGGGTGCAGTGCTGCTTCTCATGTGTCCTCACTTTGTGCTTCTCCCTGCCCTCTGTGTCAGGTGTGCCTGTGACCCCGAGCCATGTCCTGCTGCCAGCCCTGCAACCCTTGCTGCCAGCCCTGCGGCCCCTGCCCGCTGGCCAACAGCTGCAATGAGTGCTGTGTCAGGCAGTGCCAGAGCTCCCACATTGTCATTCAGCCGCCTGCTGTGCTGGTGACCCTGCCCGGCCCCATCCTCAGCTCCTCCCCACAGAACACCGCCGTGGGATCCTCCACCTCTGCTGCTGTTGGCAACATCCTCAGCTGTGGCGGAGTGCCCATCAGCTCTGGGGGCTTTGACATCTCCTGCATCACCAACTGCTATGGTGGCAGCAGATGCCGTCCCTGCTAAAAATGCTGATGCCAACATCCTTGGGCAAGAACCTCCAAGACCTCAGGACATGCTGCTGGAATGAAGACAGAATTTTGGGACATTGTATGGAGGACTTACAACTTTTGTTTCATTCTTATCTTCTGTTCTTTCTCTTCCATTCCTTTCCTGTCACCAGCACTCAATGCCAGCCTACCTCGACCTCCAGGCTTTCCTCCTTCTTTCTATCTGGAGGGCAGGCCGAGGGACACTGCAAATGTCCCTCAGTGGCTGCTCCTGGTGCTCTCTGGGAACCTCCTCCTTTGTCTTGCTTTGAGTCAATAAAGTTGTTTTGCATCCAAGCCTTGGCCTCTGCTTCTCTTTCCATCTGTGTCAACTTTTCCAGTGAGCTCAGGGAAAAAAGCGGAGGAAGCAGATCTTGAGACACCCTACTGTGGATTTTACTTTGTGCCTTTTCTCTTGAAGCTCACAAACACATTGCTCCATACTCCTCCACAACTACCAGGGGAGGAAGATGGTTCCCAAACATGACAGAAATGGGAGATGAAAAGGGGTACATGGGAACCAGCAATGCTTGAGGACAGCCCACAGCCTCCTCTTTTCTGACACCACCCCCACATTTACTGATCTGTCCAGCTGCTCTCCAGACACACCGGACTGTGGGGTTTCATAGGTTGGGGTTGGCAGCACGCACCCAGATGGGCTGACTGGGGTCAGCTGTTCTATGGAGCCCTTTACAGGTGAATGTATCATGAAGGAAGCTGTGACCCCATGAGGAGCCTGTACCAGGAAAGATTCCTGGCAGGAATGTCCACTGCACTGGAAAAACAGTCAAAATGGAGCAGGTCCTGCTGACAGGAATTCTGCCCCTGTTGGTGACCTGCCCTGGAGCATTGTGATCTTGAACAAGGCAAGCCTTTGGAAATGACCCACCCCCCTGGGGTGACTTTATTCTGCAGAATTGCGTCCCCATTCATCTGTTTAGCCCAGAAATAACTTCTGCACCTTTATGACTTGTTCTGAGAGCATCAGCAGAGAAAAGAAGTGTTGTTTTTTTTTTTTTTTTTTTTTTAGAAACTGCACTCACATCTGCACATTCCTGCTCCTGGACTGTGCTGTCTAAGATGGACAATCAGTGAGACAGAGCTCTCCTTTGCTTTTAGTTAGTTTTCAATTAGCTGAGGTAGAGAAGTTCCCTGGACTGTGGTTTTTCTTTTTCTTGGAACTGTTTAAACCTGTTCTAGGCTGAACACCTAAAAGAGCACCAGCGGTTCATACCCATGGCCCACTGGGTCGGCCCTGGGCCGTGGAGGGACTGATAAGAGACTGAGTGAGCCAAGCTAATGCTCAAGAAGGAAACTTTGAGTTTGCCATCTCTTTGGAGTGGCAAAAGCTTTTATTGTTTAATATTGGGGTTTTTTTATGGTGTTGGGTATTTTTTTGGTTCGGTTTTTTATGTTGTTGGTTTGGTTTTTGTTTTTTTTTGTTCTTTTTTTTTTTTTTTTTTTTTTTGTGCTGGTGCAAGCTTTTCCTGTTAAGTAAAGAGTTTTTTTCCACTTTTTGCCAAGAAAATATTTTCCTGAACCAGTTGGGGGAGGGACTGCTTGAATCCACTTTCTAGAGGAACCCCTTTAGACATTTTCTTGCAAATTTGCCCTAAAAGAGGACATCCACCATTTTCCATGGGAATCCCTGGAATAAAAGAGGCCGCATTCTTTTTGCTGGAATCCTTGAACTGATAGAAATCTGGATGGAATTCTCCAAAACCTTTTACTTTCCAGAGAGAAAAGGCTCCAAATCATCACTCATAGCACAGGTTCTCCAGCACCTTGGTCATCTCTGACACATGCAGAGGGGTTGCAGTGGCTGCTGCATTGGGATTTGACACATTCCTCAGACAGTCCTGGCTCACTGTTCAACTGGCACAAAGATGCATCTTTAGACAAAACAATGCCTTTCTGAAGAAGCAAAAGAAGGGTGTGGGAATGGCTCTACTTGGCCACCCTGTGCAGACATCATTTTAGTCTGCACCTGCTGTTTATCCTCTGTGTGTTTGGAGAGGTAGAATCTCTGCAAAGAGATAAGGCAGGGGTTTGGACAGACTTGGAGGCCCTCTCATGGAAGTTCCTGAGCTCCCTGTTTAGGGAGAGGAAAGATCAAAGCTCAGAGATCACAAAAAGCTCAGGGTGATCACAGCACTGGTGCAAAGAGGAGCCCTGCCAGAAAGGACTGTACCTTAGGCTGATGAAATTTCTGCCTGTGCACCGCTGTGGGACTGAGCTAAAGCAGGACATTGTGCATCCCTGCCTGAGTGTTTATTCGACCTCCTCTGTGGAGTGAGGAAAGGCAATAAATTTACTCTTTGTCTTTCTACCATGGTTTTGTGGTTGTTCCAGGTGCCTGACTGTGTTGACTAAAACACTTTGGATGAAAGGGAACTGAAATATTTTTTGTTTGTAACACTCCCCCACCCCACAAACCATGGGTAAGAATTGCCCGCACCAAACCAAGTGGTTCAAAGTCCTGAGTAACATTGCCTTAAAAACTTCAAGGAATGACAAATGACATCTCTGTCCCAGTGCCTTATCACTCTCACTGTCAGGGATGTCTTTGTCAGATCCAAGGAAAAACAATACCAGTGAGTGCAACTCTCTGCGTTTCTGCCTTTTTGATGAGGACACTGGAAGAGTTGCCCCAGAATGATGGAGAAATCAGAGGCCCAGGTTGCAATGCAAAAAGAACTTTATTGAGTATAAAGAAGAAAAGGAGATAGTTCATAGAGAGAGCATTACGATAAACCATTAAGATGCAGTGGGGATGTCCATCTGCGTGGCCTGCAAAAAAGGCAGAAGGGAATGGGTGAAACAGGTCCCACTACCGTGGCATTGAGTGGGGGTGACAAAAATGGAAGGAAAGAGAGAAATGAGAGGAGGAGAAGGAACTAATGGACAAATTCTCTAAATCCGACGTCCCAAAATTCTGTTGTCATATCAGCACCATATTCTAAGTTCATGGAGGTTCTATCCTGAGGATGTTGGCATCAGCATGTTTAGCAGGGACGACAGCATCTGCTGCCACCACAGCAGTTGGTGATGCAGGAGATGTCAAAGCCCCCAGAGCTGATGGGCACTCCCTCAGAGCTGAGGATGTTGCCAACAGCAGCAGAGGTGGAGGATCCCACGGCGGTGTTCTGTGGGGAGGAGCTGAGGATGGGGCCGGGCAGGGTCACCAGCACAGCAGGCGGCTCAATGACAACGTGGGAGCTCTGGCACTGCCTGACACAGCACTCATTGCAGCTGCTGGCCAGCGGGCAGGGGCCGCAGGGCTGGCAGCAAGGGTTGCAGGGCTGGCACTGCTGGCACTTCTCAGAGCAGGACATGTCTCGAGCCTGGCGCTGCACCTGGCACAGAGGGCAGGGAGGAAGCAGAGCACACGCACACCTGAGACACAGCCCGCAAGGCACCCCCAGCAGGACAAGGCCCCTGCTGCCTGCGCAGCTCCAGCCTGTGCAGGCCCAGCCTGGGGATCCTTTGCCTGAGCCCAGCACGGTCCTTCCGAGCTCAGCCAGGCCCAGCTGTGCTCCTGCCTAACCGGGATGAAAATCAGCACCTCAGCCCAGCCTCAGCCTCTGGCCAGAGCACACGGTCTCCCCTCTGCCCACACCACCACCATTGCAGAACACCCACAGAAGCACAAGGAGCAGGAACAAGGAACAGAAAGATCAATGCAGTCATGGAGAGGGTGGAGGTTAAAGGGGCTTCCAACTCACCTGATTCCCAAGGAGGAGGAAATGACAGAAGTGGTTGAGAGAGCCACCAGTTCAGCTGCCTTTTATCCTGGCACCACAGTGCCTCAGGGCCCAGAGTTTGAGCTGCACAAGTGACGATATTCCTGCATGATCCCAAATGAATGGAAAGATTTCTAGGAATGGTATGGCATGAGTTGGCTTTTCCGTCTACAATGATTTTGCATTTCCTGGCTCACATCATTCCCATTCCTTCATGGACCGTTTTTTTGAATGCTGGTATGTGAGATCCCATGTTTCCTGGGGCCAAGGATGTGTCAGTATGTGTAAGAGACATGACCTAGGTGCAGAAGGGATCCAAAGGAGGCAGGTGATTCCAGCCTGAGGCATTCTTCGGGATATTTTACGTTGCTGCTGGCTCAAAGGGCCTCCTCTGCTCTCAGCCCTCCAGTCTTTTGCTCACCACCTAATAGCTCCTCTATGTGATTTGGCCTTTGAATGAAACATCTTTGTCTTCTTCCTCAGCCTTCCTAGCGCATGAGACTCCTGTAGCACTGAGCTTCTGTCCTGCTTGGTGTTCCCAGAATCTGCTCTGACTGGGAGCTTCCCTGCACCTCCTCAGTCACATCGGACCTCTGCCCCATGTGCTCCCCCACAATAATGTGCATGCTATTGTGGCTGTGCCCCCGTGTGTGCCAGTGTCTGCACATCCCTGTGCTTGTGCCTTGCTGGGAACACCCCTGAGAGCCTCTGGCCTGCGCAGGGATGGTTGTGCTCAGGTCAGGGCACTTGTGTGCAACCCCCCTGCCCGTGTGCCTGTGCCCGTGTGCTGGGCTCTGTGCCTCTGGGGTCATCTCTGAGCACAGCTGGGCAGGCTGGCAGTGTGTCAGTGCCCCTGTGTGTGTGTCCACAGCTGGGCCTGAGCTGAGCTCTCAGCCCAGCCATTGCATGCCCCGTAGGGCCTTCCCCGCCCAGCAGTGCCAGCCCCTCACACACACTCAGGGCCCAGTTCCTTCTCTGCAGGAACCTGGAGAGGGCCACGGCACCCACATCTCTCAAGGACAGTCCCAAACCCAGGCCATCCCTTTGATGCCACATCCAGGCAGCCTTGGGGCACTCAGGTGTTTCCCACTGTCCTTGTTCCTGCCTCATGGGGAGGCTCAGTGGTGACAGTGTTCTGGTGGCTCTGTGGGGATGGGGCAGTCCTGTAGCCACAGTGGCTTTGGTCCTGAGCCATGAGCTGTGGGAAAATGATGCTGTGAAAAAGAAGGAGTCAAGTCAAGAAAAACATTTGACCATGTTTGGGATGTGGAGGCCAGAAGGTGGGAGAATTTATCTACTAACACATCCAGAATAAGAAAAAGTGCCAGACTCCAACAGGGTGGGAGGATGGTTTTGCTTATGTCCTCATGCTTACTTGACCCTGTGAAACCTCTCAGCTCTGCCAATGTGGTTGAAAGCTGACCAGAAATCTAATGGGAGAGAGATGTTTGAAGAGCAGAGGTTGTGGATTATCCCCAGGCACTGCTGTTTCCAATTCCCACTACTGTGACCTTTGACATCATCTTCTTGTGATGATCAGTATTTTGAGGAAGCCAGGGAATTGTTTGGGAGCCACAATAGGGAAAGCATATAGTAATGGCCACCAGCTTGTCTTCCAGCACCTTTTGCCCCGAGCTGACTGGAAGAGTTCCAACACAAGGAAGGAGAAAGCAGAGAACCAGGTTTGGATGCAAAACAACTTTATTGAGTCTAAGGAAGAGAATGAGGGAGCTGAAAAAGGACACTGGGAGCAGCCAGCAGGGTGCAGTGGGGGTGTCCATTTGCCTGTCCTGCAGAGGGACAGAGGGAGGCAAACAGGTTCCACTGGGCTGGCACTGGGTGGTGCTGAAAGGAAGTGAAGCAAAGAGAAGAGAGTGGAGGAAAAGAGCAGTAAACCAAGGGCACAAATTCATTATTCCAAAGATCCATGTTCAGTGCAGCTCCATATTCTAAGCTTGTGGATGTTTTTGCCCAAGGATGTTGGCAGCATCTTTAGCAGGGGGGACAGCATCTGCTGCCATAGCAGTTGGTGATGCAGGAGAGATCAAAGCCCCCAGAGCTGATGGGCACCCCACCACAGCTGAGGATGTTGCCAACAGCAGCAGAGGTAGAAGATCCCACGGCGGTGTTCTGTGGGGAGGAGCTGAGGATGGGCCCGGGCAGGGTCACCAGCACAGCAGGCGGCTCAATGACAACGTGGGAGCTCTGGCACTGCCTGACACAGCACTCAGTGCAGCTGCTGGCCAGCGGGCAGGGGCCGCAGGGCTGGCAGCAAGGGTTGCAAGGCTGGCAGCAGGACATGGCTCGGGGTCACAGGTGCACCTGGCACAGAGGGCAGGGAGAAGCACAAAGTGAGGACACATGAGAAGCAGAACTGCACCCGAAAACCCTGCAGCCCAGGCACCTATTGGCCCACATTACCCTGCCCTACTCAAAGCCCAGGAGCCACCTCAGCCAAGTCCCAGCCTCTCTCTGTCAGCACAAGACCTCCTCTCCCCTGCCCTCTAACAGCAGAAGTATCTCCCAGTCCCGGGCTGAGACCTCCAGCAAGGCAAGAGCTGCTCTTGAAGCAGCAGCAGGAGGAGGAGAAGAGGCTTCCCGCTCACCTGATTCCAGTAGAGGAGGATGTGAGAGCGTGGATGAGAGATCAGAGACTTGGGCTGCCTTTTATAGCAGTCCTGCCCTGCCTCAGGCCCAGAAGCATCTTAGTGGAAGTCATAATTTTCTGACCAGCACATAACAAATGTGCACATTCGCAGTTAATGGTGGGGGCTGTGTCCTGGTTTCCTGCATTTCTGCCTTTTCATTTCCTGTCTTCTGCCCTGTGCGTTCCTATCTGAAATCTCCTTCTAGGGTCAGGATGAGTGGCCCAAGGATTTCCAGGATATAAACACGTCAGAGTAGGCAGAATGCTGGGATCATGGTCTGGTGGCATTCCATGCAGGCTCATGACCTGAATCTGTGTCATTCTGGTGGGTTAGTTTGTGGCAAAATACTCAAGGCCTCACTCTCATTCTTCCTCTGTTGCTGCCCATCTCTCTCACATCTCTTTGTGACATCCCATGAGTTTTCACATGCAGCCTGTTTTCCTGGCCCATTTTGGGAATGTATAGGGGACATAAAGTATTCTTTGTGTTCTTGCTTCCCTCTAATACAATTCCCTTTGGTCCGGAGTGAATGCTCGCTTCTGCAGCTTGTTCCTGCTCTTGCCCTGGGCTGGATTGGCAGCTGTGCTTGCTGGCCTTTGGCTGTATGGATGATGCCCAGCAAGCTGCTCTATCAATCCCTTTCCTCCAAGGATCAGAGAAGACAACATAAATCAGAGAGTGATTTGAACCTTCGTAGAAGGCAGTTTGCTAAAGCAAAAGTGAATGTTTATGCGTTCATAAGTACACTGGGGAAAAAATATTTCAAGGCCTCCTTCCATCAGGAAATGATGGCTGGCAGTTTCCCAGGAAGCAAGGCTTCTTCATGTGTTGTGGTTGCTCACAAGGAAAATCTTTGTAACTCAGGCTGCAGAAATGGGCTTTGTGAGAAGAGTCCAGTGTCTCCAGCCATGTCTGACTGTGTCAGCTCCAGCTGTGTCCAAAGGGGACTCAGACCTGCCCCCCACTGAGCACATTTGTCACACTGCTGAGGCCTCTGGGAAAGAAGGTTTCATTAGAAATGGTTTGGGCTGGAAGGCAACTCCAAACCCATTTTATTCCCGTCCTCCTGCCTTTAATAGTTGGGCACCCACTAAACCAGCTGGCTCAAAGCAGGGTTAAACCTTATCTTGCACAGTTCCGGTGTTGAGCATCCAAAACCTTTCTGGGCACTTTAGTACACTGCCTCACCATCCTGACAGAGAGGGACATCTTTGTGAGCTCCAAGAGGAAGGGAAAAAAAAATTGAACGATAAAAAATTGCACCAAGAAAGTTGCAGGGATGGCAATGCTGGGCTTCCTCCAGCCTTTTGCAAGTGTGGGAACTGGAAGAGTCGTCACAGAAGGAAGGACAAATCATTGGCGAAGGTTAGAATGCACAAACAACTTTATTGAGTCAAAAGAAGAAAATATGGAGGCTCAGAGAGGGCACTCGATGGCAGAAACTCAGATGCCCCAGTGATATGTGACATCCGGGCCTGCCAAGGGAAGAAGGCCAAGAGGTCCCACTGGTCTGACATTGAGTGTTGGAGACAGGAAAGGAAGAGGAGAGGGAAATGAGAGCAAGAGAAGAAGAAGGAAAGAACAATCTGAAGCTCTAAATCAAATATCTTAGGTTCTGTCTTCATTCCCGCAGCATGTCCTGAGGTTGTGGAGGTTCTTGCCTGAGGATGTTGGCATCAGCGTGTTTAGCAGGGACGACAGCATCTGCTGCCACCAGCGCAGTTGGTGATGCAGGAGATGTCAAAGCCCCCGGAGCTGATGGGCACTCCCTCAGAGCTGAGGATGCTGCCAACAGCAGCAGAGGTGGAGGATCCCACGGCGGTGTTCTGTGGGGAGGAGCTGAGGATGGGCCCGGGCAGGGTCACCAGCACAGCAGGCGGCTGAATGACAACGTGGGAGCTCTGGCACTGCCTGACACAGCACTCAGTGCAGCTGCTGGCCAGCGGGCAGGGGCCGCAGGGCTGGCAGCAAGGGTTGCAGGGCTGGCACTGCTGGCACTTCTCAGAGC